TTTAAAAAAGAAGATAGTGACAGTTTCTATGAGAATTAAATTCACTGTTGAAATAGAGAATGAATGGAGAGAACTATCAATGTTAGACTGTAAAATACAAGGAATGACAGATGGGAGTTTAAAAACTACAATGTACAGAAAAACCTGCGCATTCAGAAAGATTTCTGGATTACTACTCAGTGTAAAGAGAGGATTAATACAGAGTTTAGCAAATAGAATACGTAGCTTGACAACATATCCGGATGATGAACGAAAAAGAGTTTCAGATTTGAATCTGAAATGACGACATAGACATTTGTGGTTATGACAACTGAAATATTAATGATAAGAAGTAGATTACTTAATATACGGAATGGTTCATAAAAGGTACATAACTCAGAAGGGGGTAAAAAAATTGATGAGTGGTGAATCAATTAAGTATTATGTAACAGTATTAGACAAGATGAAATCAATGTTTTCTAAAAAGATTGAGACAAGTAAATGAAATAACACCGGAAACTTATCAAAGCGAAGGCAATTATAATAACAATAATGGTGCTTGGTTGTACCTAAGCGAGTCAGAGGCTAGGTATGGTGTGTGAAAATGGTGCCAGTTACATTCGAATAGATGGCTGCTGTTGAGTAGCACGTCGGTCTGACTATGAGCGAACCGGATCTCACTTCCAATACCAAAACTTCATTATCAACTGAAAGATCCAATAAAAAAAACAATGTCGCATACAAAATGTATTTTACCGATTGTCCAATTAACTATGTAGGTCAAGCATCCAGATCACTTAAAATCAGACTCAATGAACATAAACGATTAACTAAAGGTCAGCCCACAAGAATTAAGAAAAGAGTTCATCGATAGCAGCCTATGCATGGGATCAAAAACATAATATTGATCGGGACAGTGTTCACATCTGAACGAATGGAAAAAAAGATTATTGATTGAATCCACGCTCATACATGTCACGCCGAACACATGCAGCAAAGTTGACTTAACACAACTGTCAACAACATGAAACATAGTACTGGAGAAAAACAATGACAAACCTACAAAATAAAAGCACTATACATATTTAAAACAAGCAAGTATGAAAAAAGCAGGATTTAATGAATTCATAAATTTCAGCAGTACTCGTCAGCTGGATACTCTACATACTTGATTATATATACCGTTAGGCAATGGAAAAGAGCATACATACATACATATATAACGTAGGCTAAGACAGATTTAGGTGTAACAACACAGAAGAACTATATACATAAATTCTATTCGTAAATATGTGAACAAGTAATTCCAGTAATTTTACTGGAAATATTACCAAAACTAAATAACATAATTGGGTGTAAGCATTCATTAAGAATGTATTTGTAATAAAAGGACCTTAGTATTCGTCTTAGTAGCATAGAATAGCAGTAACCAGTGCAAATATCATTACACCTGCAAGCAATGTTCATAACTTGATCAAACATTACTCATGTATGCATCGTACTTCTGTCTGAACAGTTACAAATCATCACAGTTTTACCAAGTTTACGTCAATAATAGTATGTGATATATTAAAGACAATTTCACAACTAGGCCAATTTAATAGCAACCAACTCAATACTGCCTAAACATCACTACTTGGAGTGTTTGATAATTCTATTGATTGGGTCGCAGATATTACACGACTCAGTGGACTACAGAAAGGTCTCAGAATCGAAACAAGTAGTGACTATGCTGCAGTTTTCTTGTTTTTTCTGTTACTGAAAAGTAAAACGAAAGCAGTGATTATTTCCTCTTCTTCGGATGTATCTTTGAAACTGCTCCTTTAATAACTCACTTCGGTCCTAATTCCCACTCTCCCTTCCGTTTTCTATTGTAGTGCACCTTCCTGGCACCAAAATATAACTAGGGCTAAAATAAATAGTTTAAATTAAATTAACTAAATAAATCTCTAGCTTGCCTCCGGATGCTTAGGGTGTTTTAAGTTTTGTTTTAACGAGCATGCATCCAAGCAGGCTTGGACGCCATTTTTGCGCTCCATTGTGCTGATCACCACGCACGTACTCCGAGTCCCTAGTTCAGCCTTACAAGCCAGATAAGTTGATTAAACTTTTCCCTCATTCATTATTATAACATTTACCTTAAATACATAGCTCCTTTAAATACATTGCGTATCAGTTCTTTTGATTTGTGTTTTGTTACCAGTACTTACACGTTAGGTAAAGTACTGGTTAAGCAGGTACTAGAGCACATCAAATTAAGTAGGGTTGATTAAACGTTACGGAATTGTAACACGCATCCCTACACTATGTTCCCACAGTATTTCTTTATTATATATATATATATATATATATATATATATATATATATATATATATATATATATATATATATATATATATATATATATATATAGGACGAATTACCTTACTTTCACAATACCTACCAAATCGAAATTATCGTATTATCTTAAGACAACTGAATAAACTTTCAGATGTTACTAAAAACGTACTAATAAGCAAGAGGAAATTGGTTACTAACGATATAAACAAACATACGTGACGATGCAAACATTGACATGTTTAACAGTATGGACTAAAAAAACACATTTACCACAATAAATGTTTTATATCCTGCAAACACTTGGTTGTATACCTTACTTTCTTATGTATCCAAGTCAAAGCATTCACTGGCTTTAGTTACTTTATCTTCTTTGTTCATATGTATAGAGAAAAGAAAGCATTATATTTTTTGTCAGAATCGAAATCAAGAAGTGGCAAGGAGCTGACATGGATGCAGTGTTTATTGACTAAAAGTATTTTAAAGCCAAGTACAGCTCTAATTGTTATTTAATGACCTGTCTTAGGTGTAGCTAGTGGTGATCTATGCTCCTACTAGTTTCGAAACTCACTGTCGAATCTATCTTGGTATGATATTTATTTATGAGACTTGGTGTAATCAACTCGTTTACTATCTGTTGACAGTGCCGATTTTAATGACCACTAAAACTTGAAATAAACTTGTCACACATTAAAGCTTTATTATAGTCTAAACAGATGCTTCAGAAATACTTACTGTCGTCAAACACCCTCATCATTGGTAACTATGATCAAATGGATGAATGTTTAACTGGTAAGAAGAGAGTCCCAAGTAGAACAACGGTGATGCCTATACCGAATTCTCTACTGGGTAGAAATACGTAATGATCTACACGTATCTATAGAAGATATTCTCTACTGAACTTCTTCTGAACTAGGTGCCCAACCTTGAAATTTAAATCCAATGGCAGCAATAAGATATTTACCAGACGTATTCCATTGAGAAGGTCACTTATTTGACGGTAGAATTCATCCTTATCTGCATTCTGGTACCAATCTACTCTAGCATATGCAACGATAGTTAAAAGACATGATTTCTCTTCCCAGTTACTGTTGATTCTAATCAACTCTTCTAACAAAAACATCACACAGATGGCTGTTCATGGAGATCTAAATGACTGGTCGAACTTAAGCTCTAGTTCTTAATGTATATATTACACCAACAACGCTAGATATGATGTCACATCAATCCCAGACGAATGCATATTAAAAACACTTTTCGAGCTAATAGATGGTGAAGTTAATTAAAGGTATTTCCTGGTATCTTGTATACAGGTCTATAAGATATAGCATTCATTAACAGCTAGACTTTCCACGAATCAACTTTACTTAAAGCATGAATATTGCCACTGGATAGCATAAACAGCACGTACACTTTTAGAATAATTGAGTTGAATATTGCATTACAGGACAGTTTATGAATTAACTGCTAAGCTACTAGAATTTCAAGCAATGATGAGCAGTTGACAGCGATAAATTTAAAGTAAATATAACATTATATTGATCAAATAGCATCGAATCTTCATTATACTATTATAATATGATTTATGTGAACGATTAAGATACCATCAAAAAGCACAGATCAAAGCAGATGGTTATCTTAGAAGACTGCTTCTACAGTATTCCGCTAGCGATCTAGAGTAAAGAGTCATATTTCCATGATTGCTAGTTTTCAGAAGAACACTAGCTATCATTAGTTCTTTATGGATCCCGGAGAGCATGTGGATCACTTGGTTGAAATTGGAGTTGTCTAACTCTACTAGATGGAATACCTTTATCTACGGATCAGTTGGTAAGCACCAGACACTGACTTTCAGTAAGAACACCCCTGTTATATGAAAGCAACTTTTGAAAGTTGTTGGGTGCTCGGAGAACCTCAAACAACTCATCTTATCCTAATCAACAAATATTCTTGAATATTTTGAAAAGCAGACTTTATGAAGGTATAGTCTCATGTGAACATTTAAAAGGAATGACGAAACTATATCCACTGTCAGCCATCTAAGGGTATTTGGAAGCGATGAGAAGTCAGTGTCGTAAACTACTCATCATTTATTGGCCTAAAGAAACTGTAACAAATTACGTCTTGTACGTTCATGTAGAATGTGAATATCTGAGCAGACTATACAAATCAAGTTCACTAGTCCAATTATCTCATCCATTTGTGACTTGCTCACATGACCATTACAACCATATTTACTTTAGTTCAGTTAGCTGAACAGTGTTTATAACCATCATGATATAAGTAAATCTGCATATGAATAATGAATTACGACTGATAATCAATATCGTATAACGTTTTCTAATTCTCACCTCGACATTACCTACTAAGTAGACTGTAGAATTACTTTTTGTTTCTGGAACAATCGTATACAATAAACTGTTACGTAATTTTGTTAGATTATAGTTGGTATAACATAATTTGAAGTGTCAGAGAACAGATACAGTTTCACTGGTCAACTTTATCACTAGTTATATTAGTTTCCAGGTCCCTGGATTTATAATGATGATTTGAGACCAAAAGTATTACGGTACAAATGTTACTTTCAGTGTAACTAACTAGTCTAGGTTACAATCACCATTCTTCTTTAGAATTATGCATAACAGTGAAACTTATTCATTGCCGCGTGAAAATGACCTTCAAGTAGAATTTAGATGTTTTATTTTACTTCAAATAAACAAAAAAGTTAGATTCGATACAGTAAATTGTTGGAAATTTATAAGTAGTTTAAGTAATATCATCACTTCTGAAAAAAATAAAGAAATTAATTACTTTTTTTAAATGCAGTTGTTGTTAATAGTGTCTTCAGAGACGAAGAGTTTTGTATGTTGTAAAACTCTTAATGAAGTTTAACAAAAATATTTTTTTAATTAATATACAGTTGACTATAACATAAATACACTCAGAAAACTTTGGAATGTTGCCACACACACATACGCCATTTGTGATTGGTAAATTTATTACTGTTGACTTATAAATGTGTTTAAATTTATCAACAAAATATTATCAGAATGAGAATCTACAGTTCATTAACGTCGGATGGGAATATTTTACCTATTGAACATCGAACATGTTTTAATTATTGCATGCTGAGGACGAAGATGATAATGTCGATGGAGGTGTCATGAAAGTAGATTGGTTCATTGTATCACTATATTATTATATTATTATTATTATTATTATTATTATTATTATTATTATTATTATTATTACCGGAACATTTTATATTCGATAGTAAATTGAACCAAGAATTAAGCATAGTTACCGGTACAGGCATCCATACACACTTATTATCTTGAATAGATGACGGTGACATTAATGGTGGACTTGCTGTACTACTTTTACTACTATTCACTATTAAAGGATTTAATGTTGGCGCGATGCTTGGTTCACTTAACGTTACACGTTTCGTGTGTAGCTTACGCTCACTAACGGAATAGTATTCACTACAATTGTCACTATCACAGCTAACAACATGATCACCTTTTATAAGATCTGAGTTCATCAAACTGTTTATTGATGAATGTTTATTCGTAAACACTAAATTATTAATATTGTTATCTGAATAATTTGTCATTGTATTAAAACGACTTAGACGTGTCAATTGTTCACTTAAACGTTTCATATTGATTGTATGACGTTCATTATGTAATTTAGTTGGTAATTCATTTAAATTTGTTTGTTTATTTGAAAAATCTTGTAATATTTCCATTGAATCAATTTGATTCAAATTTTGTATCATAGTAGGAGGATTAGATTCATGTGTTGATTGAAAATGACAACTACACTGACAATCAGGTGAACGAGAACGTTCTATAAGATTAGAATACTGTTGAAATGGTATCTTTTCAAAGGCTGTTGTCTTCATTAAACTAGGAGAAATATTCACAGAAGTATCTTTCTCAAACTGTTTAGCATCTTCTGTTTTCCATAAATCTGATTCACACCTACTCATAAAATCTGAGTGATGATCAGTGCGCAAATTCATTGGTTGGTTATCAACACTTCTGTAATTATTATTGTTATTATTATTGTACAGATATTCGTTAGCATTTCTAGTATTTTTGTCTTTATACAGTATTGAGGCATTTCCTCCAACTGTACAAATTGATTCAACTAAATTTGTTTGGTTCTGATGTTCAGAAGGAAATTGTTCAGTGGATTGATTTGATAAATTGTATAAATCTCTCAGATTCCCTGTCAATTGAAAATTATTGAAATAATTACTTTGTGACATCATAGATGCCCAAGATGAAATAAATTCTGTTAACTCATTAAGTTCATGTGAAATTTTATTTCGATTTTTTTCAGAAATCATGGGTTTCGCACAGTTTATATAATCTAAGAATAAATTACTGTTATTAACAGTCGCGGCATTAGTAGTTTCAAAGTTAACTTTATTCATATATGAGTTTATGAATGCTGACATCGCTGTCATGTCTAAATTAGCCGGTGAATTTACACAGCTGTGATTTACAGAATTCAAATTTGGCGCTTGTTCACTTTGTGTTGGTGTCACTGAACATGTGGTCGTATTAGAGGTTACCATGTTCATATGAATTTTTGGTGTGTCATTATTAATATCAAGTTTACAATCTGACTGATCTTCATAAAAAGTATCATTATGAAACGGTAGTTGATACCATTCCTTGTGTTTCTGTTGTCTTTGATGATGCTGACTGTTTAATTCATCTAATTTACTAGAATGATAGATTGGATGTGTTAATGAAAAGTTGGTTTCGTCAACTTTTGAATCGACCTCCAGTTTGTTCAGTGTTTTCAATGTCTGCTGAAACTTCTCAGTAGATGAGACTGATGTCAATGTTACTGGTGCTTCTGTCAATGTTGTCACTGGAGTTGGATTTGAAGGTGTGCAACAAAACTTGATTAGATGCTTCAGTCCTATAAACTGATAAACAAATTTACGTCCGTGCACTTTACGTATAATATTTTTTTGATAATAATACCTCAACGCACGACTTAGCTTATCATAATTCATACGATGATTTTTATCTTTACGCATACCCCATAATTTTGCAACAATTTCAGCTTGTACAAGAATAAATTCACCACGTTTGTTTGTCCATCGAATAATATGCTCATATTTATTTGATAATAATAGTTCTAACAAAAATTGCCATAATGTTAATTTCCCACCACTTCCATCGACTTCAGTAGTAAACTAAAATAATAGTTAAAAAAAGAAAGACATACGACAACATCATTCATTGCTTGCTTAATTTGAAAAGTGAAAAAAGTGTCTAGATGTTCAATTTCAAATCTTCAAGGTTGTTTGTCACCAATACTCAAGGTCACCTATTTAACTACAGCCGGACGGTTTAAACGTTTCCTACTCTCAAGATTTCGAGAATAAACACCAATACTTTCTTTCAAAATCAACTCCAAGATCCTCATGCCGTATGATGAGTGCTCTAACCCTTGAACTAGTGAGTTACATACTGGTGGTGAAGTAAGTTAACAGATGTTATGTATTGGGAATGGATTCACTGGCCGTTAGGCTGGTGTCATTCAGTACGGAACTTTAACGTCATCCGCTGAAACAAGTGGAAGTGTTTGTCAGATTGGCATCTCAAGATGAAAAAGCTACAACTAGATTCATCTCAACTATGAAATTCCATGATGCTTTCCACTGATATATAAAAAGTTCAAAATTTGAAACAGTTAATCCCTTTTATGAATTCTGATAACATAGTTAGAAGATGAAGTTTATCTGAAAAGTGCGCAATACACTTCGAACAATCTGATCATACACTTACTTGTCAAGTCAACTTACATAGAAACAAAAAAAATGGGTGAAAAAATAGAAGAATCCCAATAGTAAGGAATCAAAATCAAGAAAGATGAGAACAAAAAGGAAGAGTGATATAGTTAATCCTAATCTTCGTCAGAAAACAAAGTTTACCAAGGCAGATGTAGTGTAAGAACAAGTTTTTTTGTACAGACAAAAACGGTTTCAATTCGAGTATGGCTGTCGCTTCCTCAAATCTCAATATGCATCCTTAGCTGTTTCTACATAAAGCTTAGAAAGCTGTTTGTGACTCGTTTCTATAATATAGAAGTTAGCGGTGATGTTGTTGTCTATAATGGCAACGAAAGCTGCACAATTAAACCATCCAGCTCAGAGAACACAACACTATCAGAAGAGAGTTGTATCCCGCTTGCTCTTGTCAAAATTTCACACTCTATCTGTTTTTGAAGCCGTTTACGTAAATGTTCCCCCATTCTCAATGGCATGTCATGATCACTCCTCCTTATCTATATGTGACCAAACACATATGTAAACTAATAAACGAAATGGGATATGACGTAATCATACGTACAGTGTTTGGGATTGTGTTGAAGCATGTGTTTTGCCCTCTTGTTTTGCTAATAGTAAATGTTAGCCTACATCTCTCTTTATTATAGGTTGAAATGGATGCTTTTCTTAGAAACCGTGTATACAGTTAGCTTAGGTGCTACTTGACTTCTACAATGGTTTATAAAGTGTAACATATATCTGCTTTTCATAAGTGTTTTAGTCAGTAATTTGATATCCTCATTTATTGTATCTAGTGTACAAATACAACAGATCCTATAAAACATGCATTTTATTAGACTTCGCTTGTATTGTGTTGGACAAAAACTATGAAAACTCATATTTTGTCCAGTTCATATAGGTTTTCTGTAGACTGACTACCTCAGTAAACCATATTCTCTTCTATTCAAGAGTACATCTAAGAATGGCAGATGATTATGAATGCCTTTCTCTTAATTTAGGCTGATATGATTTATTCAAACCATGTATTGTAATTTACTTGGCACAAACACTAGTTCTAAAAAAAGTAAGCAAAGAGACTCCAAGATTCATACATAGTGTTAACCTGCATGACTATCCGAACATTGCTCATTCTGGTCATAAGTACATATGTTTGTCAAGTCTTAATGATATTTAAACATCATACAAGCATTTCTTTTGCTTAATATTCAGCTTATCAGAGGTTGACATGAAACAAATCAGGTAGAAGAGTGAGATTGAATAATATATCACTATAAGCAGAATTACTTCGTATATTACCGGTGATGAATGCAACCCCTAATAACAGAAGACGAGACGTTGTATTGAGATCACTTTGCTCTGATTGATAAGTGTTAATGATCTGTGTAACATTCTTAAGCATATAGATAAAGTTGAATGTCAAACAGTCTATGTTTATTAATGACTATTCCACTGATGTCGACTCATTTTTGCTCAAAGTTTCAAGTGAAACACTGAACTTAGAACTGTGTTGAATACGTTTGGTTTATTGGAAGGAAAGGTATCAGTTTACCTTACACAGTAAATTTTCAGTCAATTTAGTTTTACTAAATGAATTTTGACCTTACTTCAGTATCGTCTCCTTGCATAACAGACATGTCATAGTATGAAAACAGAAGTTGTAGTGTAGGAATTCAGGTATTAACCCTCCTCCATACAGTGGATTACCAAGTACATAACCTGTTTCACCCATGAAAATTTAGCTCGTACTCCGGTGTTGTTATTCCATGCACACTTAAGAACTGGTTAACAAGCCATACTTATTTCCCAAGGACTGTAATACTCTATCTAGTAGCTTAAACATCGGTAAATAGAGCTCAGATTGACTCATTAGTTGAAAATTAACTTCCCATACCAATAATGAATAGTTTAATAGTCCCCACATACCTCTGTAGTTCTCATATTATAAATTTGACTTACAGTAATTCATAAAACCGGTTACTACTTACTAATTCCATTCTTCTGATATGATGGCAGACTCACATAGCTGTAAAATGTCATTCAATGAAATAACCGATTCATTTGTGCTCATTTTAGATGATAAGGAAAACTGTTTTCTTTTAAAAACAGCAGTTTTACGGTAAAGACTTGTGACAGTTACAACACAATTATTTACAGTTGTATCAGAAATTGACTTTCTCCTTGTGATTATTAGATGTATAGAAGCGATATTACCTTGATATTGAAGTGTTTCCCCAAACATATAAGAAATCCCTTATTGAAACGTTTATTGATAATAGAACTTAGTAAGATCAAGAGAAGTTCAGTCCAAATTAGCTAGTATTCATGGATATATTAACTCAGGCAAAGGAGATAACACATCATCTAGTTTGACTTCCAGTTTAGAAGCTTTCCCGATCACGTACAGCAAATTCATCAAACCTTCTTCTTTTTTATGTGAATTATGATCTAGATGTGACAGAACAGTATTGCGAATATTGGTCGTTGTTTAAAACGTTGACATTAAATACAGTTTGCATATGTGTGAATCACAGTGTTTGAAATGAAATCATTCAGTTATTTTTGTTGTAAAAAACATGTTACTTACAATCTATGCAGTAGTATAGTTGGGTTTAACAATTTTCCCAGTTACGGATTCGTGTCAACACAAAACAAGAAAATCTCCTGAACACTAGTTGTTTTAAACTGTTTGAAAGTTGAATAATAGAAGACTTAAATTTCTGAGAGGAATACTTAATAAATGCAGGATAAAGCAAAAATATTTTTACCAAAAATGCCTTGATGATTTATGATAAGTTGATTGATAGTAAAATTAAATCGATTTGGGGTTTGGTTGATTTCAAAATGGTTTTAATTACGAACTGAAGTCAACAGGAGAATCAATGAAAACCTAAGAGTACTAGATATCTTTTTCATCCTGGTGTATAGATAAACCTGTGAGTGAGTGATTGCTAACTTGTCTTTTATGAGACCTGATATCCCTGGGGTGGTTCTCTCATCATATCAAGAGTGTACAGTTCTGAATAATCCCAAACTAGAATGAAATATCTGTCTAATCCTATATAGTTCTCGGTGGTTCTCTAAATGATAGCAATCCATTTTGAAAGCTAATTAGAAGAAAAACAAACAATGAACTTTCACAAGAGAGTTCCCATTAGCCATCTCCTGGGCTGTGGTATTTCTTCATAGATCTTCCTCATTAAGCTTGATTACGTCATTAGAACTAAATTCCTAGCAAAGTGAGGTGTAGGGAACATGATAAAACCAAACGAACATCCGAAACATATTACCAGTGAAGAAACCGAATATTTATGATGAATAGTGGAATCCAAGACGCAAGTTCGAGTCCTATAAACCAGTCGGTTTGATTATTATTACCAGAACTATTATTATTATTATTGTTATTATCATTATTATTGGTCAACCATGTGTAATTATGCCACTCTCTATTTATTAGTCTTCTTCTTTGCTTCTTAAAGGATATTCTTCATCTTATTTATTGACAATTAAAGCAGCATCCCCACTGGGCTAGCATTTCGTTATTAATTGTAAAACTTACACATTAGTGTACAGATTTTGAAGAAGAGTTGGTTGCATAGGAATATTTTTGTGTTCGACCCATCTTTTATTTTATGAAATGGGGATTTTCAATATATACAGAAAGACAGATACGTTAAAGTAGAAACTAACACAGAAGTTCAACAGTTCAAGTTACCATACCTTGTGGTAGAATGTAAGGAAAAGTGACATTGAAGTATACCAAACTGGATGAAAGTTGAAATAACAAATATATGAAAATATTCATGACTTCAACGATAACAGCTAATGTTTACATAACCACCACTGATTCCTGTCGTCTTGAGGAACCTGGCTAGGCAATCGACGCCGTTCAATACGACTAAGGCCGATAATCACAGACTCCATGTATTGGTGTCACTTCTTAGTCTGATCACTTCCAATCGTCCATAAGGAAAACCTAACTACTGTTGCACCTTCGCCAATTCAACATAATGACTTCATCTTCGGACCCTAATACAGCTTAGCGATATACGCTATAACGATAACAGCTTATTGTCCTATCACGATCCAACAGACCTTTTTGGCATTGTTCCAGGCACCATAGTTCTCTGAGTCATTGCGAGATGTAAGCTGGACTACCACTTCAAGGTATCAGCTATCGGTAAAGGAACTCACCTTTCTTCATGTTGATTTTCAAAAAGGAGAAAAACTGAACACTCGACTGTACTACTAATTACCACTAGTCAATGGAAAAAACATTTTTATAGGGTTTTTTAACAATCCAGTCCTACAACAGGTCAGTTGCTGGCCAAATAGTTCAGTGGTAACGTCTCTGATTGCAGTACTGAGTGATGCAGGTTCAAATCTCAGGCGGGATATCAATTCCG